CAATATAATTGGTCAAGCTTTTGAAAAGAGATAAATAAAACAAAAGGTGTTTATTACATAATATGAAAACTTAGCACAAGAAGAACAATAGCAATTAAATACATAATGAATAGTTTGCCAACATTAGAAGAATTAAATAAAAGAAGACTAGAAATATATAAAATAACTGACTGCTAAGTATGTCAAGAAGGTAAAAAAAAACTCAAGCATATTTAGCAAACTGCAGTAGACAAAAAAGTTTGTAGAAAAGAATCCAAAAAGTAGCAACAGCAGGTGCATGGAATAGTCTTAAAGAAAATAAAAAAGTTAGAATCCTGTCTCTAGTGTTATATAAGGCATTATTTGAAAAAACAGAAACAGAAAAAATTGCTAATAAAACAGCTTTAATAAAAAGGCTAACAACGAATGAGGTTGAAAAAAAGATCAATTAGATTCTAAATAGACAAGCAACACAAAAGTGCATAAATATATTAACAAGAACAGTGTGAAAAACATTCTATGACCAAGTATGAAGAGTTTGATATAGGAAAGTACAAGAATAGAAAAAGAAAAATAATAATAATAATAATAATAAAATAAATAATAATAAATAATAATAAAATAATAATTATTTATTCTATAATGCTAAACTTTATTATTATTATTATTAAAATTAATGTTTATAGTAACTAATACCTTTATTTGTATTTTTAGTTAATATATTATATATTACTTGTACAAGGTAAGTATATAACTAGTTATATATACAACTTTTAATTATCTATTTAAGTAATTTACTCATAGTTTTATACTAATTGTTATATCTATAATTTACTAAAAAATTATCTAGGATGTAGCGATCTAGTGAAGTGGTCAGGTTGTCAACTCTTTAAGTAGTAGGTTAGGTGTTCAAATTCTATCGATGGTGAAAATTTGGATAATCACCTATGTAATATTCATATTATGGCAACTGTTACTAACAATTAGGTTAAAATACCTGTAATAGTGATTACATCAGCATAACTGGCAGGTTATGAGGCATCTGTGTAAGTATGGCATTACACAAAGAAATGCAAACTGACAAATCAGACAATGCAAATACTAGATAAGTCCTTGTGGCTATATAAATCTGTTAAAATTAAGTAACAAAAAGTTCATTTGAAAAGACTTAAGTAGAGAGATAGTTGGATCTTTGATGGCCCTACTGTAAAGGCTAGCTTAGAGAAATAAATACCAAGGTTGTAATATCCAGTTATAGTAGCTGGACAGGCAAGAATCTCTGAGTTGAAAAGCTTGGAGGTACTACCAACCAGGCCACTGAAACAAACCAAAGAAAAAGGATATTAGACTGATCCAATATATTAATAGACTGGTTATAGTTCTACATAGGCTATCTGGATTGGGAGTTTGGTAAAATGGCTAAACAAAAGGCAAGAGTATACTAAAGTACTAAGGTTATGCTGTGAAGTAGATGCTGGGATCTAAGTAAACTCTACAAGAGCATAGTGGTTTAATGGTTAGCCCTAACTACAAGTGTTGGTTCTGCTATAGCAATATCTAAGTCAGCTGTAAAAATAAATACAGAAGGCTCTGGAGGGTTTACCTTGAGGATAAATTAGTCCTAAGGTTGAAAACAATGATCTGGTACATCTAAGATGACCAGTGATGTTAATACAGGTTACAGATTCAGAAGGTTTAAAGTAAAACATCCAAACAGAGGTGTTAGGTATGGCAATTGGTAGGGAATCTTCAGATAGACTTCTTAAATAGGTAATATAGAAAAGTTACATATGTAGCCAATTGTACGCTCTCCTGTGGTGGTTCATTGAACCACAATACTAATAAGTGATTAATAAAAGTCAAAAGACCAAAGAGGTCACCTTAATACCAAAAAAAAAAAAAATTATTTATTTAAATATTTTAATTCTTATATTGCATCTAAACAATAATTATCTTAATTTTTTGTATACTATCTGTCAAATATAATATAAAAATTAAAATATTTAATTAAATAATCTTCTAATAAATTACAGATATAACAACTAGTATAGAATCTGTAAACAAACTATTTAAATAAATAACCAAAAACTGTATGTATAACTAGTTGCATACTTATCTTATATAATTTATATAACTATAATTAAAACATAATAAAAACAATAACTACTAATAATCAACAACCTTAGCAAAAACAAAAAAAAAATACAAATACTTCAATCCAACTAATTATTATAAAACAAATTACTATAAAAAATATAATTTTTTTAAATTTTATTGTTTATAAGATTTGAACACTAAACCTAAAGTGTAGTAACTTAGTAAAGTAGATAAGTTGTCAACCTTCCAAGTAGTAGGTTAAGAGTTCAAAACCCACTAATAGTGAAAATTTGGAAAACCACCTATATATATCAGTATTACAGGCATCTGTACAATGTTTGAGTTATTCAGAAAAATGCAAACTGGCATTAGGCAATGCAAACCCAAGATAAGTCCTTATATCTGGTACTATGACAATGACAATCTATTGATCAGTTGGAATCAGTATCTGTAACACAGTCACACCAGATAACTGACAGGTCATAAAGCATCTGTGCAATATTAAAGTTATACAAAAAAATGCAAACCAGCATTGGATAATGCAAATATAAGATAAGTCCTTATGACTATATAAATCTGCGAACTGGAAAAACTGAAGCCCACTTGGAAAGACCTGAGTAAAAAGGGACTAATATTACCAAACCTAATTTCGATTTCCTAATTTGGAAATTAGCTAAGATCTACAAAATCAGCCAATAAAATACTAGTTTAGGAATTAAACAAAATTAACTAATAAAATATTTCAAAATGTAATTAATAACAATAAAATTTTATGTACGTACGTATATACTAATCCTACGCTAAATTTAAACTTTAATTACAAATATATATCAATACGTATAATATTATAGTACATACATGCGTATACGTATTTAAATATTACTAGTAAAGGCTTGCATAGGCCAACATTAAAAAATTTGAAAAATTTCATAAAATTGCGGATCTAATATGTTTAAAAAATGAGTACTGCGAACTTAACCCTTAAAGAATTTTGATATAACTTAATTTAAATGTAGTACAATCAGTGTTCTAGTCATTTCGATCATGTCACTTTAATTTTAACGAAACAGCCAAAACATTTATTGACAATACGTAATACCCAGTGTTGGCAGCAATAGACGAATAGAACAATAGAATAGAGCAATAGAATTTAGAATTGAAAAAATTTAATCAATAGAACAAAATATTGACAACTAGATTATAATTAGTAATAGACAAATAGAACGATAGAACAATAAAATAGAATTTAGAATAGAATATAATTTTTATCATTAGAACAAGCAATTGACAACACTGGTAATGTCAATATCAAAATTTTTCAGGAGTTAAGTTCGCTATGATGAGAACTTAAAAGTTTCATTTCCTGGTTTTCACTCTGCAGCACCTGAATAGTAAAGTGCAGATTATACATCTTTAAGCCTACGCAAACTTCTCATTACTAATAACTAAAGTCAAAGTAGCATCATTCAGATATAAACAAATCCTTAATATATAAACCTTAGAAAACAGCACTAGATATTCTTTAAATTTTTCACTGAGCTATCAACTAGTTTAAGTATGCTTAATAAAACTTCGATTTCGAATAGAGTACAATCTGCTTAACTGAAATAATATAAGTTAAAACAGTTAACTTGATTGATTTAATTAACACATAAAAAAGTATCTAATATTTATATATTCATAATCAACAGTTTAAATTTTCAAATAAATTCATATGACATATATAATAAAAGAACTTCAAAATTCACATTCGATTAGATGATAGCTTTCAAATTATTCTTTTCGTAAAGATTTATTTGGCGAAAGAAAATATATAATGTTTGGTAAATTATATTACATTCACAATTATCAAATTATGCCTCTCAAATCAATTTAATTGCAACAATTTAATGAACATAAATACCTATTTCGTTTGCGAAAGTTTGATAGACAAATATAAAGAACATTTCGTGTTCAAATTAGCATTTTGTGTTTCCAACTAAAAATGATATCTTTCAACAAATTCGATGATTTAGTTAGTATACGACTATAAAGAAAACCTAATATCTAAATAATAGCTAACTAGTCATAGCTACCAACAGGTTAAACAATTTTCTTACTTACAATAATAATTTGGCTTCAATAATCGATTGTCTAAAAAAAAGTGAATAAATAATGCAAATGCCAAGGTAAAATAAGTCTTCAGGCTTTTAATTATATAACATAATGGACAAAGCCCCTGAAAATGATACGTATATGATATATCATTGAAGTTCAATTGTGTATTATAAATATTATACGTCACTAATTAAAAATTTCAGGGGCTTTGTCCATTACGTTATATGATTGAAAGCCTGAAATCTTATTTTACCTTGGTAACTAACAAAAATCTTGCACAATGTCAAAAAAAAACTCATTCTCAAAGTAATACTCTGTCAAGTTAAAGCTACCAGTATAATATTTGTATAATGCCATGAATAGATTTTCATGATCCTTTATTAATTGATGCTGCATTATGTTACAAAATTTGATATATAAAAACGTGAACTATACACATAAAATAGAACAAATCTCTCTAATCAATATCGTTAATAAAGTTTAGTTTAAATAAGAGAAGAGGCAGTTACAAACCACACATAACTGTAAAACTAAACTCTCATATTTTTCTTTCTGATGAAAATCGAATTAAACTTACCAATTTACTGAATAATAACACACCTGGAGTAGTCAAATTACAATGGGATCTATCAAATAAAGAACATGTTATGAGTCGAGACCAATTTCTTCATGAAAATGGTCTTAACATAAAGTCTGATGATATTCGATGTAAATGGTCTACCTGGTATTCAACTCCAATAATGGTTATTAAACAATGCGTGTGTAGAAGTTATTGAGAAAAAAATGATATACCTAATTCCCGTGTCTCTGCTGCACGTTATCCCTATATGGAATGCCTTGCTTTTGTTAATATTTCCCTTCGTAATAATAAGATTTGTGCTATTTCAGGATATATAAACCACTCAGAACAATGTAAAACATCTCAACCACAATGTGACCCACCATATAAGCTTCTACCATATATTAAAAAAAATGTTGAAACTCTATTGAATCTAAATGTAAGCACTGCGGATATTCTTGCTCAGAATGCCAAAATGGTGAAAAATGTATTTGAAAAACAGACCTTAATTGGAAATTCAAGAACATTACTTACTGCAATGGATATTACAAATATTAAAGGGCAAATGCTTCAAAAAAATTGGTGTATAAATATTAAAAACGATCCTGCAAAAAATTTAGAGCAGTTTCTTGGACCAGACGTGAATCCATCAGAACTTAAAAAAGCATGTCTACATTACCAACCCTATACAAAAGAAACTGGCTGTCTAGAAATTATTATTAGTACTCATAAGCAACAGGAGTTTGCGTGGAAGTATGGACATCAGAATCTTATCCTTATGAATGGAACGTTTGGAATTAGCAAGAATAAACTTCTCTTATTCATTATCATGGTTATCGATGAAAATAACAAAGGCATCCTTATCTCATTCATTATCTTTACACCACCTCCACAAAATCGACTAACATCATCTGGCTATGATAGCAGTATTTTGGAATGGCTTCTTACAATCTTTCGTGATAGAATTAGTACAATTTACAATCAAAACCATCTCACAGAAAACCCAAATACTACTGCAATTACATTTAGTCCTCTTGTTGCAATGACTGATACAGATGTTAAAGAACGAAAGTCATTGTTAAGAGTATGGCCAAATATAACTTTGCTTCTGTGTTACTTTCACATTAGCCAATGCTGGAAAAATGAAATAAACAAGCAATTGGGATGAGGAGGTAGAAATGATATAATTTTACAATGCCAAACCTTGAAAACGTATTTACAAAATGTATTAAAGGAAGCTTGGACAATAGATAGTAATGAGAATGTAGTACGCAGGTTTATTAAAGAAAAAAAAAATTCGTTAGAAACTATTATATGTAAGTCAGAAGACTTTTCAAATGATACAAAAAAAATTTTGGATGGTGGAGCAAGATTTTTTACTTATCTAGAAAAGCAGTAGACTGGAGAACTTTTACATAGTTGGTGTCTTAATAGTCAAAAAAAGGCCGCAAAATTACTTGGAATTTCTTTCGAAAAGCTTCCTACTACAAATAACCATCTTGAAGGATTAAATGAATACCTAAAAAATAATCAAATAAGTCGATTTCAAAGAAATAATCGTCTCCTCAGAGCAGATATACTTTACACTGTTCTTATAAATAAAATCATACCTAACATATTGTCTTTGCGAAACTTGTTAAAAATCTTGAGCAAGAAAAAGTAAAATGACGAAAAGAATTCAACATTATGAACCCATTAGATCATAAAGTTCTTCAGCAAGAGTTTTTCCAAGTGGCTTACCTGGCTTCAAGTCCAAAACGTGATGAATCAGCAAAGAAATTGCTTCAAACCAAAAAAGTAATCAAGTATGAAATAGAACAAATAACAGGAAAAATTTTTGTTCAAGTTGAATCCGAAACTACACCACACCTTGTCTATACTACTTGTGTATATGGTCAGCCTACGGATATTTGTTGCCAATGTATTGATTTCCTTCAAAGAGGAATTATGTGTAAGCATCTACGTGCTGCAACTCTTTATATAGATGAACTTCGTCAACAAGAACAACATGCACATCTACCTGAATTGACTTTTGCAACTTATCAAGAAGCACAAAGTATTAGTCGTAACCTATGTACAAACCAACAAGAAATACCAATAAGTTATACGAATAATAGTGATATTAGTGACGATGATAATAGTGATAAAAGCGATACTGATAACGAAAATGAAGATACTGATAATGAATGTAATAATCAAGTTTATGATACAAATAATTTTACATTCACCACATCTGAAAAAACTCTAAATTACATGAAGCACATTCTCGATATACAACACACTTCAATGACAATATCATCTTCAAGCTCACCTTCACAAACCCAATTCAGATCCAACACGTCCAATATTGCCAGTTTAAATGCCTATGCTATTTACAAACAGGAATTTCAAGACTTTCTAATATCGACTTCAAGAAGTCTGCAAGCACTGCAAGAAAATTTAAAAGTTTTGGAACATTTGAGTCAGTTTAAACAGCCATTAACACAAGAAGTTCCAGAACAAATGAGTACTAATAATCAATGTATTTTATTAAATCATTTTCATAATATCGTTACCTCAGAATCCTTTAGAAATGCACAACAATTGGTGGACGTCATGCATGAGAATGTAAATTCTCAAAAGCGCAAAGCTCCCATTACTAGCCTTCTTCCACTTGAACAAGAAACGAAAAAACGTCGGCACCCAACTTACAAAAGCTATTAAAAAGACAAAACATATAATAAAAGAGATAAATAATAAAAGAGATAAAACGATAAGGAAATAAAATATACAGCTTAAATCAAAAAACATGAACTATGTTAGTAACTATGCATAAAAGCATGTAAGGAGACTAGCCTTATTTATTATACATATGCAGGATATTACCCAAACTTTGAAATGTGTAACTATTGCGTGATTTTAGAATTTTAATATACTGCGATTTGTACATACATATGTACGTATTTATTGAGATAACTCGAGGCATTATTTCGGGATTCACAATTTAGAGAGCTGAGAATTAATTTAATCGAAGATTTTCAATAAATTAATTCTTAGTTTTCTTTAAATAATGCATCTGAAATAATACCTCTAGGCATGATCTCGAGATAATACTGTAATATGATAACTGTAATGCTATTTTAATTTGCAGTATATAGTTAACTCTTTCTATAACGAACTGATGGTTCTGAAAGAAAAAAAAGTTCATTATAGAAAGTTATTATATTTTCTTAAGGGAAATTGCATTTTCTATACCAAACTATTAAAAATTTCAAAATTTTAAGTTCACTATATCCAGAATTCGTTATATAGAGGTTCGTTATATCCAGAGTCGGCTGTATACATATTTTATTGAATTTTTATTAATTTTAAATAAATTTTTATTGGTTAATTTTGTAAATCTTAGTTAATTTCCAAATTAGGAAATTGAAATCAGGTTTGGTAATATTGGTCATAAAAAGGTAACACAGATTTTTGACAGTACTATTGTAAAGGCTAGACCTAGAAAATGGATATCAATATAGAAAAAATTGAGTAAACAAGAACCTTGGATGAGAGTACTACCAACTAGGCTGCTGGAAGTCTCAAATTGAAAGAAAAAGATCTTAGGAACAGACTCTAGAGTACCAGAGACAGGTTATAATTCTATCAGACTATTTGAATTAGAAGTTTAATTTAGAAGCAGAGTATACTATAAGTACTAGAGATATGCTATAAAGTCAGTACTAAGGTTTGGATGAACTTTACAAAAAAGAACCCTGTTAACAAAGATTAAATGTGAGTAGTTAGTTAGCAAGGAAACCTCCTAAAGCTTTATAATCAGGTGACATATTCTGAAATATGTAACAGCTTGACAAACATACAAATAGGGAGGTTAAGATTAGGTTAGACAGCATCTAATTAGGTGTATAAGAGCTTAATGCACTATCTGCTAGTATAGTATAAGAGTAACTTTGTATAAATTATGTAATCATAATTAAATTTACAATAAAGACAGTAACTGCCAATAACTAATAACCTTAGCAAAAACAAAAAAAAAAAAAAAACACTAAACCTATCATTTGAAAATTGATAACTTATTTACTTTACTAGATCACTATACTTCATAATAAGTAAACTTGTTCAAAATATAAAAATATAAAAATATATTTATATTTTGAACTTTTAACTAATTTGAAAATTTTAAACCAAATTCAAATTTAAATTTAATTAAACAATTTAAAACTGAATATGATTTTTAAAAAAATTTAAATTTAATTTAAAAATCAAATTTTACAAAAAGAAAATATCAACATAATTTTGACCCACACTAACCCTAAATTTTAGGGAAGGTTATTTTGACCCGGGTCAAAATTAGGGTTGTCAAATTACCGTAATTTTACGTAATTTTGTGAAATTTTGCGTATGCTCATATGATTGGTTGGATCATATGTACATCGATCTGGTCCGTGAACTTTATGCAGAATCTACTATAGTTCAATAATGCTAGCTGAGGTTTTCATAGTGCCGGTACTATATATCACGTGTAAAATTTACATGAAATCCATGTTACTGTAACTTACATGAAATTACATGTATTGTAAAATTTGTAAAATGTAATTTCCAACCCTAGTCAAAATATAATTTCTCTTTACAAAAAAATTAATTTGGCTCAAATTTATAGAAACATATAAAAGGCCTTAACCTTTTATATGAATCTTGACAGTTTTCAGTTATTTTAAAAATTTTATATATGTTTTAATTGAATAAGGTTAATTTTTTTTTAAATGTTTTGATGTTTATCATTTTTTCAGAAACAACCTATTGTTACAACATTATAATTAGGACATTATATGTCTTCAAAATAACACCGAAATGTGGGTTAAAATTTTGGCCCGAATTAAGCCTGATTTAGGCTGAATTATGCTTAATTCGGTCAAAATTTTACAGCACGGATACTAACTGGAATGTTCCAAAATGATGCAACGGTCAATTTGACTACACTCCAATATAATTTGGTAGCTTGATCACAGATCAATCTTGAAATTTCAGTTTAAAGGATAATTGAATACATAATTATCGTCATACTTTCTTTATTAATAAGTACGTAATTATTATCGAATATAAACGTTTACTTAAGTTTGATAACATCTGCATTTAAGACTGATAAACGTTATTTTTCAATCAGTGGAAATTGAAAAATGACATGTGTCGATTACCAACCAACAGAATTTGGAATGACGCAGAACATACACATTTAACACATTCTATAAAACCGATTTACGCGAATGGAGTGAATTAAATATTTCCAACACCAACAACTGGAACACCAAACATTTTTGCATATTTCGTTAATTCTTGATTTTCAGTCACAAATAATATATCATCAATATTCGCTAAACGTGCAAAGTAAAGCCAACAACTTAATATAGGACGAAATTCTTGTGGAATATCAGTTATAGGCTTTTCATCCGTGATAGAATTTTCTATTTTTTCATTTTGGTAAACATGTAAAGAGTTCTGTCGGAAACTTTCTTCAACAAGAAATTCTTCCGCAGATGTCCAATGGGATAATTTTTCATTCTCCCTCTGCGCACGGATAAATTGTTCATGGTTCCGTTGACTACCAATTTGGTCCAAAAATCGAATTGCTTCTCGTGCTCGCACATTTTCTTGATTATTACCCTTTTTGATCAGATCTAAGGAATCGATAACTTTAAAAGACGATAAATCGTTGGCAATCTTATAACTATTAAAATATCAAAGATAAATAAATAAATTATTCACACCATCTAAAGGTACAATCACTGTGCACTTTTCATCTGCAACCCAATTTTTAACCGAGTTCAAATGGTTGAGAATAACGCTAACATCAACAACGCATTGTTTTTGCGAAACTTTAGGTTTCGATACAGTACTCTCAGGAAGAACCATAGGAATATGGTTGGGACTAATATTAGACCGATGAGTAGAAACTCCAAACTTTTGCAGTTTGTTTTCCATTGTGTCGATTTCATCTTTTAAACGTTGTTGTGCCATTAATTTCATTATACGTTGTTGACGTTCTTTTTTCTGTCATTCAAATTATGTTATATACCAAAAATGGAAAATATTTGAATTAGAGGTTGGAACCGGTTTTAATAATTCGGGTTTATCACACGATTGTTGTGATATTTTAACAAATTTAATTGGATAAATTTCTAAAATACCACAATATTCACGTGATAAACCAGAATTATTAAAACTAGTTTGAATGTTTACCTTACTTTCTTCGTCAATTAGCGTAAATTGACCCGCAAATTCGTCATAATGAATAATATCAAAAGACTAATGTAATTAAACCGTTAGTGAGTCGGTTGTATAATTGATTAAAAAAAAAACAAAAAAAATCTAACCTTGACTAATTTTTTTCCAAACGTAATTAACCTAGCAATCATCACACACAAGGGGTTAACATTGTTTGTGAAATTTAGATTCCGCTGAAAAGAGCGGAAAGGGATCACTCCTAAAAATTCCATATCCTCAAAAATGAAATGTCTTGCCAATTCTGCAGGGTCATGATTCGCGCCCAATAAATCACAAATCTTTGAGTTGTTGAGAATACTGACAAATGACTTGAAAAAATTCCTCATATTCTAATTCAGAAATAGTAGGTTACAAGTGTGTAAATAAGATCAAGGCCTAATATAAACCCTCCCTACCGTTAAAAATATTCCTGCTATCCTTTCATTTTCTTTCTCAATAGATTTCGAGTAGCTATACAACTGACTTAAAAGATCCATTAATGTTCCCAGATATTGGCACCATATAGAAACAGCAGGTAAACATTCTAATACAGTTGAATTTGAGCCATCCTCAGAATCCCATGCCAGGTTGATGTTCTCTATTACAGGAACCAAAAACCCAAAACCTAACCCTATAGTCATGGATTCTATATTTCGAAGCTCAGTGGTTCGACTTTGAGCTTATAAATATAAGTTTGAATAATCATTAGGAGTTTAAAGGAAATAATATGTTGAACCTTTCATAATACCTGTCCAATTTCGTAAATCCCAAACCGTAAAAATAAGAATAAATATAATCTTTTTCAATAATGAACCCAGATTTTGAAGACTGTCGTCTTGGGAGGACAATAAATGGACAAATTGGATCATTATTTCTTCGGGAATAATGCTGTGTTGCATCAAACATGAAATTATTCATTTATGTCCAAACAATTGCAATATAAAATTTCATATATTAATATAATTTCATACTTTTCAACATCTTTCTCGAAAAGATAACGATGAGTAATTAAAAACTTTCTCTCAAAATCCCTAATACTAGATCTAGATAAACATCATCATTTAATTATACTTTGTTATTGAATATCAAAAATAAATCAAAGAACTTACAAGACATTCGTGTTCAAGTTACTTTGCCGAGTTCGTTGGGAAAATTTTGTATAAAATATTTTTAAATTATCAGCAGATATACCTGGTGGCTGCTTGGTTGCAAGACTGAAAAAAGGCCATTATTAAAAATATTCGATAAAACACGAGAATTATTTGTAGAGTAATTGTAAGTAATTTATGATTACAATAGCATACCTGAAACAATACCAATAGACAACATCCAAATCGTTATTTCGAATCATAGAAAGAAGAGCCAATTGAGCTTGGGCTTTTCCTAATGCGTGATAATTCAGTTAAAAAAAAATCAATTCTTTATTATAATCTCATGAGACATTACATACCATCTTCACAGTAGACTCTTGCAGCTTTCATGTAAAATTGTTTAGAGAATTCCCATCGCCTCATATCAGACCCAAGTAGAGTCTCACGATATCGAGCAAAATCACCAAGACGAATGAGACATCGTTGAATAGATTCAGCAGTGAGCTCTTTTCTGCGTAATTTAGAAGCAGAACGTGGAGCAGGAGGCGAAGTGGTGATAGTATTCTTAAAAATTTCTGAATAGAGCGAATATGACCAAAATGAATAAGATAAAATAGCTAAATTATTTTATATGTATTTATACAAACGCACCAATTCCAACTCGATCCAAATCTATATTTTCACGAATTTTTAAGCTATTAATGATGGTATGGTAAAATCCAGTCCCCAAGTCTAGGTAGCGGCATAATTCAAGATAAACAGCTTGGTATTCGTCAGATTTCTCACTCTTATCGATCTGTTTGATAAAGAAATTTTCAATAAAGCTAAAGATTATTTATATAACAATAATTTTATATACCCGGCGTAATTTTTGCCTCAATTCCTCAATATAATTATAAAAGACGTATCTCCAAAGTCTTTCTTCGATATTATGCTCGTTGGCGAACTTGAGATCGCTTAAAAGAATGTCTTCATAAACGTCTTTGAGGCTGTATAATAGTAATATAGAAGAAATGATCAATCATAATAGAATTAAATACAGACTTAACAGACGATGAACTAATTATTTTACCTGTTCCGTAAAAATTCAGTTTCTTCGACTAATTCGGCTGATTTTTCGGGGCTATCTGCTTTCCTTTTTTCCAGTTCTTGCTTCTTTAGTTCTCTCTCGAGATCAGAAGCCTCACTAATGATATTCATATGGGCTAATCGGTTTCATTGGACCCTAGACAAAGGCACTAAATTTATTTTGAACCCCGTAATTAGCAGACATAGAACATTTCCCCTTATAAAAGCTCAAAATGTTGTCTATAATAAAAAGGGTGCTTTTAGGCAGAAATGCCTAGTTTATTTAAAATGAAACTACATCACGTGACATATGTTTCGTGTAGCCGTCTCAAATTAGGAAATGATGATCCCAATCATGCATATTTGTAAACGATCAGAAATGTCCCCTAATTTTTTGTGTAACGTATTCTACTATAAAGTAGTAATCCAAATCGTTAGCTGACAACTTTCCAACTAGTTGATTTGAAAAATTTTAAAAACAATTAAACAACTAAATTATTAAATAGATCAATTATATATAAGATATTTTGTCTGTTTATGTTAACTTTTACTAATTTCTTTGATTTGATTGGCTAATTAACAAATTTAGTTACATAATATAAAGGTTAATTAGGTTTCAGGCCCGAGCGTTGCTCCGGAGTTAGGCCTTAAGTGTTTAATTTCAGATTTTGTAATTATTTAGTTAAAAAATGAGTGACAAAAAAAGAAAACCTGTAAATCATTTCACTCATTAAGTGAGATAATTTACAGGTTTTTCTTTTTCATCTCTCAAATAATATAATATTTAATTTATAGTTTTTTAGTTCTTAGTTTTCTAGATTTCAGGTTCAAGAAATGCTTTAGGGTTAGGTCATAAGTGCTTTTAATCTTAATTCATATTATTGTTTATAGTTTTTTAGCTCTAAAGTATAGGTTATATTTTAGAGCTAAGTTATAAATATTTAAAATCTCAGATGTAGATGATGTTTTGAAATTAAATTTTAAATGTTTTAAATCTCAGATTTTGTAGTTATTTATTGTGAGAGACCAACATGAGGTTAGATCCAACCTGAGGTGATTAGATAGTTTTTGATTAATAATCAGAAATTAGCCAATTAGCATTATTGCCTCAAGTTAGACCTGGTCTCATATTGGTCCCTTACAATAAATAATAAAATATTTATTTAATTTATAGTTTTTTAATTCTTAGTTTCTGTTAAACTTTAGAGCTAGATTTTAAGTTTTTTAATTTTTAAATCTAAATAATAAATTTTTTTTTTTTTTAACTTAAGCAATTATGCTAGTATTTTATTAGAACTCTTGAAACTATACAAATTACAGAAAATTTTTCTAATAACTAAGTCTAACATCACCTGGTTATCCTATTGATATCTAAGTATGACCTGCCGCACTACTTTAAGTAGAGGTAGACTGCTTGTCTGACTGCTGTCCTACAATAGAATACCATCAATCTGATGACATTTTTTCATAAGGAAGCAAAAAAACAAAAAAAAAATTTTATATATAAAAAAAAAAAATAGAGATATAAAGATAAATGATAAAAGATACAAAACAAGAAATAAAAGGAGGAAGGGAAAAATAAGAAAAAAGAAAAATGTAAAACTTGCAATTCACAAAAAATCAGATAGTCATGATTTTAAGCCTATATTAGGCATAAAACTTGCAATTTACAGATATCAGACAACCACAATTATAAGTTTGTGTTGGGTTTATAAAAATTATAAACTATATTAAATAGAAATTACTCTACTATCTTTTTATTTACTTAGATTATTTAAACAAAAAACCAAAAAAGAAGAAAAAAAACTTCGACTTTGTCATAAAGGGTCAGTATAAAGTACTAGTTAGTCTGGAGGTAGTATTTGACAGATTTCTAGCAGTTCGAGGCATATGTATAGTCATGTTTATATTGCTATATTATTTTTGATCTATGTTATAAACAATCCTGTTTAGAAAGTAAACACTGCTGACTGTTTTGGTAATTTTATATGTTGATCTTTAGGAGATAAACTGAATTGCCCACTTTTATAAAATTTTTCTTGAAAAAAAAGTAAGAATGCTAGGTGAACTAACTTTTTAGCTTTTGTGAGTTCTTAGCTTTTGTGAGTGTTCCTTGTAGGTTTTATAGTTGTATAGAACTAATATATCCAACTTTGTTGTTTACTTAATAAAGAATCTTGGCTTTCACTAATTACTTCTTCTATAGTCTTAGAGTGCTCTTTAAACTGTTACTACAAGGCTGCGACTCTTTTTCAACTCTATTTCAATATTCAACAATGCATGTATAGAACTCCAGAAAGGTTTTTATAAAGTTTAATATATTAACTATATCATTTTCTGTAGTTTAGTTTTTTGAAAAGTTTAGTTCAAATGATTATCAGAAAAAGTTCTTGTATAAATAATAATATAATAGCTAGGTTTTAATTTATTCTAATATTAATAAATAAATTTAAATTAATTTAATTTAAATTTAAATTAGATTTAAATAAAACAAATTTAAATATATTTTAATTTATATTATATTTATTTAAATTTAAATTAAATTTAAATAAGTTTAACTTAGATTTAAATAAATTTAAATTAAATTTAATTGATGATCCACCAATTATCTGAAGAAATTTTCATATGATAACATAACACAGATCACATATATATAAGGCATGAATTGAAATTTTGAGGTTATAATTAAAATTGCCAAATTTAAATAAATTTTTATAAAAATGTAGTACAATCGATAAAGTAGTACTACAAGGGCCTAATATCAAATCATGAACTCTAATATGTTTTCTGTAAAAAGTTTACTTTGGACAAATGCCAAATTTACTAAGTAGAGTTAAACGAATATCAACACATAAGATCCACCAATAGACGTTTAAATTTTGGCTACATATTCGACTAGATCTTAAATATCTTGAAAAGAAGCCTTCCATACCATTCATGTCAGAACATTAGAAGTTTTTAGTAAAATAAAAACTATTGGCAAAGGATCTCAATGGCTTATTAAATTAAAAAGGTTTTATATATCAAGATTTCTTCTAAAAATGAATTTAACATTTTAATAATTTACTGTTTTAGATCTTTTTATTATAGTAATCTCCAGGTAAAATACCTATGAAACTAAACAGCTATTTTTAAAGCCAAGCTGCATACTACAAATAAGAAATATGAACGCTTTTTAGTTTGCAATAAAAATTCTCTGCCACACAACGTAGCCAGATGTTTTATGAGTTTTTTTGGTTAGGTATTTTGTTTTAGACCCTGGTTTTTTAATCAGTATTGTATGATATACTTTCTAGTTCATGATTAAAGTCTGCTGCCATACAACGTATCTAGGTGTTCTAGGAGTTTTTTGTTAAGTATTTTTGTTTCAAACCTGGGTCTTTTAATTAATACTGTATAATATATGAATTTTTTGACTTTTTTGAAAAAGAGAACATGAAACATGAATTTTAATAGAAATCTTTTTTATTTTTAGTTAAAAATAACTAATGAAAGTGAGTTTATAGATGGAAATGAAAAAAGAGCATTTTATGCATAAAAATTTATATTAGATAAAAATATATTGTCTAATATGACAATTGAAAATTTTATTTTTAGATAAGAAAATATTTATTCTAATAATTCATGCTAATTCAAATCTCAGCTTTTTGCTTAAAAGCACAAGTATATGAACTTATCCAATTTTGAATTGTGATAATTTTTGGAACATCTTCTTTTTCTATTTTACCAATTTCAACATATTTAGATAGCTCATCATGCATAGCTTGTACACTTATTTTTTTCTCATTTTTTCTGTTTCCTCTTAAAAAGAAATGTTCTAACATGGTTTTTTATTTTTTTTTATTCTATTTCCTCTTCTATTGCCCAATTTTTGGCTGCTTTTTAGTGCGCACCCCTTATGTAATAGAAATTCTTTATCTATTAAACTGAAAAGTTGATTAGCAAATAAAATAAATACTCATTAGATTTTTTATATCTATATACCTTAGAGCCTTGACTATGATCACAGGAACTAACAATTGATTTGAGTATTAAATAAAAGGTAAAAAACATAGCATAGATGTATATAAAGTTATTGTTATTTACTATTATCTATTTTATTTTTTTCTTTATCTTGATCCAAGCTAATGTGATCTTTAATATTTAAATAATTAGAACTTATTAGTATATAAAAATTCATATTATATAGATATGTTCATACCTTCTTCATCTTCTTCATTCTCATCTAAAGTAAGTTATGTATATTAATTTAGTTTAAATTTGAGAATTTGGTTAACAATAATATAACACTTACTAAACTCTGTATTGAATAGAATTGTCTATGTAGATTCTGGTATGATATGTACTGATTGAGTTGGTTGCGGCCATTGAAGTGGAATATTCTGGAGTTGATTTAAATATATAGGGGAAAAATTATTCCACTCTCCAATATGAGGCAATGAACGTGCACAAATATATCTACTATATCTACCTTTCACAGGCCATTCCCAAAAAAATAGTTTTGAAATTTCTTTAATTGTCTTGATTTTGATTTTTGATTTTATCTTTTCATTAATATTTTCCTTCACAACAATATAACCATCATGATTTGGTTCTATATTTGCTACGGAAGTTTCTGCTAAATCTTTAACTGCCTTATAAATATCATCACCTATTTCTATATTGTATCTAATTCTTAAGTATCGTTTTATGATATATGTTATCTTTAAAAGATGAATATGTTAGATTATATAATTAAAAGCAGAGGTGTCAAACAAATATTATAAAATATTTTTATTAACTTGAGTTTATAATTTAATCAGTGACTATATAGAGATTATTTGTAATAGTAGGTTTTTTTTAGCAAACAAGAGAAGAAAAAAATAATAAGCAAGATAATTGTGAAGAACCTTCATGATTAGTGCTTTGCAAATTCAAATTTTGATTTGATTTTGTAGAGTAATATTCACGATTATCTTTCTAATTGAATTTTATGAATTTGTTATTATTTCTGGTTAAAAAAGAATAAAAAGAAAATACTAACCACTGCATGATGTGAATCAATAGTTGTTTTTGCCTCATCAGGCTTTAGAAACAACCAGCTTTAAACTTCAATATCATACCATTCGTGCCAGTGTCCAACTATAGCTATTAATTCTGAGTTATAGTAATAAGGCCCATTATTAAATATTACCTTTATCTATTTGGGCTTTCTATCCAATTTCTCAAAAACAACATCAAATGATGATGCTGTAAACCAAGCATCTTGCTTGGTATCCATTGACCAGTAATCAAATACTTGAATATCTATTTTAGTTTCATCTTTTTTAGTGAAAACTAAAATAGTATGTAAAGTCCAGTCATGTTTCCTATAGAAATCACCTTTTGGTTCATGTGCAGTTTAAGGTAATACATGCATTTTATAATCTGTGATAAAAAGCACACCATTGAGATCAAGCTCAGCTAATGTCACTTTGAATTGGGCATTTAAATACACTTTTTGCATTTGATAAGAAAGGTAATATAATAATTGTTCTTTGTACTCTGTTATTTAATCTCTGTACTCTTTTACCTATTCATGATTATCTAAAGGTGCTGATTCATATATAAAGTCCAGAAAATTGAACAATTGATTGCAATTAGGACATCTTGTTTCATGGCTATTAACGCATTCACTAAAAGCATAAGTCAAGCAATGGGAAATACACAGATCATGCTCGATTTTACTATCTACTTTAACTTTCAATTTTCTTTCATAACTCTGTTTCATATATCATTTTAGTTTTTCAAGACATTCTAGAAGCAGGGACTAATAAGACCATGTAATAAGGTAATTATGTATTAGAAATGATATAATAATAATAATTATTTCGAACTTAACATTAACATATGGAGAGAGGTTAATAGAATATAGGCAAATTTTTTCTAAGTAAAATTTTTTTTAAACTTTAAATTAAAATATCTCAACAATTATTAAACCAAATTTAATAAAATTTTCTTCATATTGATTTTATATAGTTATAGATCAAAATAAAAAAATATATATTAAATTTTGGTTTGATAATTGCTGAAATATTTTAATTTAAAGTTTAAAAAAATTATACTAAAAATGATTTGCCTGTTTTCTATTGACTTCTCCTTATATATAAAAACTTTTCTAACCCTAATCCAAAGTGAGCTAACCCTAATATTAATAAAACTGACTATATCATTTTTATGTCTAAAATGATTTTATATAAAGTTTTCAAAATTATTGAAAGTCTCAAATCCATAATCATTGCAGGTCATACATAGTCCACCAAGGTCTTCACGGTACTTAAGGTTGGTACAATTATTCAGTCGTGCCATGAAAGCAGTTCTTTTCATGCCATTTGGATAAGTTTTATTAAACTTATCTCATAAATTACTCTTTTGGTCACGTAAATATAGAATTAGCAATCCTGTTGTAGAATCTACATGATATAAACTCATTGTAATATTGTCTCTGTCTTGAAAAAATGACAAGAACTGATTTTCTTTAATATTAAACAATTGTTAAATGGTTCTTTTGAGTTTTTGCAAGAGTAGTACATCAGGCCATAAAGTCGAGCATGCTTCCTGGCTTTATTTATAATTTCCGACCCAACCTAATAGTAAAAATGTTATGTTATAATTAATAACTATAAAAGACCGTCAAATCAGATTTATCTGAAATTGTCAAAATTTACGACTTTTGTATAAAAAAGTTGAAATATTGTTGGCACATAAAATACATTAATAGAAAAACTGTCTAGTTTCAGAAAACTCAGTATATTGTTTTGAACTTTAAAGATTTATCTAAAGCTAAAATCTTAAAAATATTTGATTTTTAAATGAAAAGAGTTTGTTAAACTATTATATTATAATTACTTACACCCAATTCTTTTATGAAGATATAGTACTTAAACTTTAGGGTAATTATTGAAAGGATACAAATTTTACTATCTGGCCTTTTTTTGTTTGAAATCATTGCATCCTTAAAGCTATTCCAAAATCTTGTATTTTGTGAATTTGGTTGTAGAACTGGTAAAAGTGTTGATGTATTTTTATCTAATTGTATAATGTTACTTTCATATAGGTTTTTAAATAATTCTTTATCAGCAGTAAAGTTTAATGCTTTGCTTCAGAATTCTATAGAAGATTCTTTTTTTGAAAAAGGCATCACATTTTTACATCCATAGGCAACAAATATTGCTCACCATGCTCATAGTTCTTTATCTTGAAATTGATATTCAGATGGGTAAATGCTTTGCAACATAAGCAGAAACTGAATAACAGAACTATCTTGCTTATGCCAATTAAGAAAAAGACATTGCCAATTAATCATCGAATTGAGAATCTTGCGAGATTTTATATGACGAGAAAATATTAATTCTAGCAATTGTAAATTTTTCCAATCATTAACAGTATACATTAGTGATTCATTTCTCAACTTATTTAAATGCTCATGAACTGATGCATCTGTAATTCCAAAAAGGTATGATCCAGTATATTTCTGAAGAATCTCTACATTTTTCCAAACGTTATCTGAGGTTTCTTCTTTAATTGTTTTAACACATATTGATTCTAAATAAGTTTCTAAAATACATTCACTTTCTTCAATTGTTAATACAAAAAGATGCAATTTACTACAATATTGTGTAGAAAAGAAGAAACAAATCCAGAACTGACTCTATGAAATCTATTTTCTTCTAGGTCATCTATATTAATTATTACTACAAGAAGTTTTTCTATACAAACGAATATAAGAAAAATAATATATTGGCAATTAATTGGTTGATAATATTTATATTATTGAATTCTATTATAGCAGTACCAGAGTATGCTGTTTTTGTTTTAAAAATTTCTTGATAACATGTATTAATTGCTATTGATGGATTTGGTTTAATTTCTGTTGTAGTTGTTTCACAAGTACATTAAAAACCTGACTTTAGTAAATTATTATCATCAGGTAAAACTATAATAATAAAGTCTTTATTATTAAGTTCATATGAAATGTGCATATATAAATGATAAGGTACTACAAGATCTTTTATTTCAGATCCTATTTCTATACTAATTGTCTCCCATCAGGCTCTAGCCCAAATTCTATAATGTAGCTGTAGGCTTATAGTGCCTATATACAAAATTTTTGAAAAAAATTCTTATTTTTTGAACATTATTGTTAATACAAATTGGTTTTTATTTTATTTTTATTGTTATTTATTTATTTTTTTTGTCATAAAAATTTAAACTTTAATCAAGGTAAATTCGATTGTTTTTTATACAATTTTTTTTGTATCGTGATTATTAATCCACATACAAAATCTTTTATTGAAATCTGAAAATTTTCTTTTTTTCATCTTCCATTTAAACTAAAATGATTTCAAAGAATTATGTAATGACAGTTGCGAATTACTTTGCACTAACAATCGACCTAAGTATGAAATTAACAAATTTGTATATACAACTTATTAGAGTATAACATGATAAACGACTACTTAAGTAAAACAATTTGAATTTCTGTAATGATCTTATCTTAATCCAAGTATGGAATTAATGGATTTGTATGCACAACTAAATTAGAATATGGAATAATAACAATTGCATACAGTAAGCAGAATAGTGTCTGAGGTGATTCATTACTTCAGCAATTGATCTAGGTATGGAATTAACGAATTTGTATTCACAACTTAATTAAAACATAGTATGATAATGACTGCATAAATAGAATAATTTGATTACTCTAGCAGTTAACCTAATATATTTATTTGTATATATAATTAGAATATAGCATAATAAATGACTGCGAAATATGATCCATTGTTCCAGATATGAAATTGGCAGATTTGCATGAAAAACTAAATTAGATTGTGAAATGCATAAGTAGAATAATATCTGGTGATCTATTATTCTAGCAATTGATCTAAGTATGAAATTAATGAATTTGTATCTACAACTTAATTAAGATAGAATGCTAACAACTGCATAAGTAGAATGATTTTATTACTTCTGCAGTTAGCTAATATGTTGGTTTGCATACTTAATTAGAATGTGGCATGATAAATGTTCGCAAAAGGATGATCCATTGCTCCAAGTATGAAATTGGATGGATTTGTTGCAGGACATGATGTGGTAATTTCTGCATAATAAATAGAATAACTGAACAATCTATTCTAACAGCTAACATAAGCATAGAATCATAATTATCAACAATAATTACCAAATAAATAATTCTAGAATTATAAGACTAGCTAAATATAGATACTATTAAGAAAAATAAAAATTAAATCTATAAGAGTGTCATTGGCTTTAAATTAAAGATGTAATAATATTATCAAAGTTATATTTATATTATAGATTAAATATACTTATTATTTTATTTGTAATAAACAAATGATCTTGGATAGATTATATAGGCATACTAAAAACTTGAAGTATATTGTCACAGGGTTAATTGATACTATGTGAATTGAACCAAACATCTGGTTCAGGGTTATTAGAAAGTAATCAAGCACTCGCTTAATTGTTTGTTTATTGGGGATAAGATAAACGACAAAATTGAATAAGCAAAAATAAGACTTATTTGGTTATTACTTAAGCAAACCAATTTCTCTCTATTTATACATTTGCACTATTTATTTATTACTACTTTGTTATTCAATAATTACTACTAACACATTACAGTCATTAATCATAATCAATTACATCAGATTACCATTACACATGTGACATATATCAATAGTATTGACAACTACAAATCTTTTTGAATAACAGCATTTTATTAGGTTTGATGATTCTGAAATTATCATATTAAGAATTTATATTATAGAACTGCTGACTAAATATCAAATGTTTTATGCATATCCAATGGTTCTTATTTTTCTTAGATCATTTTATATTAAAATAGGTAAATTTTGATGAGATTCAAAGAAATTTGTGCTAATACATGATCTTAAGGACATTAATGTCTATGAAATTATATGATAATAACATTTTATGATAATTTGAATCTAGGTGCCATACCGAAAATCTTGGTGCATCCTACCATAAAGCATTGCATACAGTAGGGTTTTATTGAGTAGTATTTGCGGATACTATATGAAGAACTGGGTACTATATAGGGAATATATTATATGTATATAATAAATTAAAATGCAGATATTATTCAAGAATTAAGCCTGATTGATTGGTGATAAATAATGCTCAGGTCTTAACTAAGAGAGTCCTATCTTTAGCAGATACTTTATACAGTGCTAGACAGTAATTTTGGAAAACAATGCAGTTTAGCTTTAGGAATAGTGACTACAGTCTTGATTTTTATGCCAATATTCTTAGCATTACACTTAATTCAGTCCCAGGTAATGATCTGCATTATTTTTTTTATGTTTTACAAATTTTAATTACAAATCTAATCCCTTTCAACTACACTTTAATATACTGATAACTGGGGATTAATTTTTACAGTTCGTTAAAAGATAATCTTGTTAAATATTATTTACTTAATATACTAATAAAAGTTGCTTTTAGAGTTTTGTAATTTTAAGCAAACCAATACGGTGCAAAATAACATGTCTAGTTTCATATCAGAATTCAGAATGTCTAGGATATTCAGTTTTATTTCTAGTGTTCATAGTAAGTATATAGTTCAATATATGTATACATATGCATATATATTAAATATTAATTATTCTCAACTTTAACAGTAGCTGTTTCAAAAAAGAAAATATCAAATGCACTTATAATTAGCAGAAAGGCTTGCACCCGAATATTTTTATGATATTATTAAAGAATTAATTGTACAAGTATTGTACAAAATTTTTATTATTATAAATAAAGATAAGATTTCTTTATTAAAATATAAAGAATACATTCATATCCAAGTTCACAAAAATAAGGAATAATAACCCAACCTAACTAAACTATAATTGTAAAATTTTGAGTGTCACTCTATGAGATTGCTAACATGGTGTGTAATTTCGATTTTCACCTATAATTTTTCATGCCACCACCTGTTTGCTGAATAAGAGAAAAAAATGTTAAATCACACAAATTCTAAAATGAATTATTCCTTTCAAAATAAAATTTATCAAATCTATCATCTACTTGTTAGTTGTTGCATCTCAAGTTAGTCCATATATTTTAAGACTAGAAACATAAAAAAATAAATTTATACTTAAAAATCCAATGCATGTTGAGAATTAAGAATTTAAGTAAAACCCTTTATGATTGCAGAAGTGATTGTTTGTAACTCTGATCTTCACCTAAGATTATTCGTATTCCATCTGACCAGGTTGCTAAAAATCTATTGTCATTGAATATTGTTTAGTCTGTCAAAAGAATCAAATTATTTCTTCATATTCTACTGTTCTAAATTGAAATTTTTTGATTATCAATATTTTTATTTCTGCTTAACCACCCTTGAGAAGTTCTCAAAGGATCACATGTTCGAACCAGGTTTTCGAAATATTATAATAGTTACAATTTGAACACTTTTCATGATACTCTTTTAGAATTAAATTCTTTGAATACAACCAGAAAATTTATTGGTTATCATGTTTTAAGTTAGCCCATATACTTATACTTTCTCTCTAATTGATTACTACTTTTAAACTAAAAATATTATAAATTAATATTATTAATTAATCTAATTGTAAATCCATGTATAATTAGAGTAGAAATTCATTACTGGTACTTCTAATGAAATAGTGCCGTCCAACCAGGTAGTTGAACCATCAAAAGGAATCCATTCAACTATTTCTTCACGTTTCATTGCCTTAAGTTGAAATTCTATAGTGCAATCATCAATATCATTATTTTTGCTTGTCCACTCTTGAGTTATTTTTGGAGGATCACATAACTGGTACCAGGCTGGTAAAGTGGTAGAAATCCATCAAAGAAATCCATTCAACTATTTCTTCATGTTTCATTGCCTTAAGTTGAAATTCTATAGTGCAATCATCAATATTATTATTTCTGCTTGTTCACCCTTGAGTTATTTTCAGAGGATCACATAACTGGTCCAGGCTAGTAAGGTGGTGGAAATCTATCAAAGGAATCAATTCAACTATTTCTTCACATTTATTTTGCTTATTCACCCTTGAGTTATTTTCAGATGATCACATAACTGATACCAGGCTAGTGAAGTGTTATAGTATTATAATTCATATATATTCTATTGCTTAGACTTCATATAAAATATTTACTGGTGATTGTGTTAGTCCATATATTTTAAATCTACCATCTCTTGATTCTTTAACTTATATATAAATAGGCTAATTAAGGCCACATGTCTTAAATAATAATGTTAACTTATCACTCTTAAAAATCTGACTTCTGAAAGTTATGTAAAATTTTAAGTATCGCTTTTCTGCTTATGAACATGATTTTATAAAGTCTCAAGCTTTCTTATGACAGGATGAAATTGAACAGAATTCAAGTCACTTTTGTCAAAGTGCTCATGATATTAGAGGTTTTTTATATAATTTGGTCTTCACAATTACATGTGGTTCACTATAACAAAAGCTCACTATAACAAAAACTTACTATAATGAGAGTGACTTGTAAAAACACTATGCTAACATGGATTTCACTCTAACCTGATAATCAAAACGGGTTTTCCAAGAAATTATCATGTTGATCTGTTTTTTTTATTGTTGAACAATATATAAAGAGAAGGTTCAATATCTTATATATAAAATTTTTCATATTTCTAAATCGAATTTTAACTATAAAATTTGCATCACATTTAATTGGTGTATGTAGATCATTTTATTCAGGTGACTTATGGATCACCAATTAAGTTACTTATAAGCTACAAATAGACAAATTTTAAAAAAAATTTTAATTAAAAAAATTATTAACTAATTCTTGGCAAACTCTTTAAATATTAATTTTAAACTTATAGTTCTTAATACAATATTTTAGCTTATATAAAGGATGACAACTTTTATTAATATAACTTTTTTAATTTACTTGTAAAAATTTAGACTTGTATTAAGAATGAAATTTTTTTTTTAGTTTTGGAAACATATAAAATCTTAAAAAGTTTAAAAAAATTTTTTATAATAAATATTTTTAAACAAAATCTTTAAATTTTTATTGCTTAAAAGTTTCTTATTAATTTAAAAAAAATTTTTTAATAAAGTTTGTAAAGTATATTTTTAATAAAATATTTTATAAGTAAACTGTACCTTATATTATTAATAATTTATTGCGTTATTTAAAAAATATTAAATTTAATTTAAAAATTCAGGCAAATTTGCCTAAAAAACAGTTTAAGGGATAGTTTAATGAAGTGAATTCAACATTTTTAGTTTCTGAAGCTGACTTTGTTCTTTGTAATTGGCTTACCTCATATTGTAATAGCATGAGTATATAAAATTCATTATAGTTTTGCATAAAATATTAGTTATATTTGACTTTTTATTTGTAATAGTTGATCAAGAAAAAAAAAAAAAGTTACTAAAGCAAAAATGAAAGAATACACACTATCACCAAAAAAAGGAATGTACAACCTCCCAACAGAAAGCGTAATATGAATTATGCAAATGTTGAATGAACCTCCATTCAGAGTGATACAGATAAAACATACAATAATGCACAAGATTTTTTTTTTAACAATATCAAAAGTGCTGATAGTGATAATTATTAGTAATTATTTAATTTAAATTATATATATATATATAATTTATTTATTTATTTACAGTATGCGAAGGTTGAAAGATAATATCAGTTTTGTATACCAATTTCAGACATCCTTATCAAAAATGCATCTGTCAATTAATATTTATTATTTGGGGTAGATATGTTCTTTAATAGGGGTGTCCAAAATAGTATACAAAATTGATATAAGATTGGAATCTAAAAAAAAAATTTATTTTTAGTGATCTTTGATCAAGACGACACAGATGAGAATGCACTGATTCTAATAGCTTAACTACTGATCCTAGTCAAGATAACACAAAAACCACTAATCTTACCTTCAGTCAAAATAACACAACTCTTGTAAATAAGATGCCAAAAAAAAGAAAATTGGCTCTCATGCAAGCACATAGTACAAATATTAAAGTGATCAATTACTATCAAAATGCTATAAATCTTAACAATGATGGTAATATACAAAACTTTGGACTTGTAATTATATAATGCTACTAAATATCCAACCTTCTATTAAAATATAAATATAGAGCAAAGCACCATAGTTCCAAAGGATAATGTGTCTTTATCTCTAAAAAATTGTCATTATTCTTCTATTCGAAAAACTAATAATATTGAAAATGTATCTAAAACATTTGAACACAATGCTTAAGATTCTGGTAATTTAAATATATAACTATATTTTTTGTAAAAGAATATTAAGTGGCATTAGTTCAAATTATGGTCTGAATTAAGTTTAATTCAACTATGTTTTGAAATAATAATATTATTATTTTATAAATATATATTGTTGTTTTATAACTTCATATTATATCTATTTAATTTATTTATTTATTAATTTAATTATTTATTATTTATATAGCTAGAAAATGAAAAAGAGAACAAAAAGTAAAAAAAACCTCTTGTAGAACAAGAGCTAGTAAAAAGTCAAAAAACTAAAAATTAATATAATCAAAAAGGTGCATATACTCTATATGCAAATATAGCTATATAAATAAATATTTTAGCTTTTATTTATGAATAAAATATATATTAAAGCTCTAGCTTTTCATTTATTTAAGTTCAGTGATATTTCCTGATTTATTTCATAATTATAATATAAAGTTCCATTATATTATTTATATTTACTATAACAATAGCAATAGTAGTTCAGTAATGTTCCCATGTTTATTTCATAATCATTATAAAAAAGTTCTAACTTTGGCTTATTTAGATTTTTATAAGTTTTCATGTTTATTCCATGCTTACTATCATATAATTCAGCAAATTATTACATAAATTTCAACAAAACCTCCAACTAATTTTCATAATTAATATAATTTTTACTTTATTATCACATTGGTTCAGTAAAACTTTAATATAACTTCTGTTAATTTTTTAAGATTACTTTGTAAAAATTCTGTAAATATGCTACATTTATAGAAGAAATATGGATATTGTTACTTAGTAATTTAGATAGAAATAATATGGAATTCATATATGGAGAAATTATGGAAAAATTTGATTTGATTTTTTTTACAAGATAGATTATGTTATTTTGACCAAAATATTTATAAAAAAAAATGAAAAGAAATATATAAGTTAAAAGAGCTTATCAAAAAAGAATAGTATAAAGGTCTTAATTAAATATTTCTAAAGAAGAATAGAATAAAATGATATAAGGGCTTAAAAAAAAACAGTACCAGAAATTTCAGGCATCACATATATACTAATCCAAGCAATTAAAGTTAAAGCATATGAAATTTTTAAAACATTTGCTGAAATTTGTATCAAAATAGAAACAATATCAAAGAAATAGAAAATATCACAAATATATTCAATTCTAAAAGAAGGTGAATAGTATTACAATCTTAGTAATATCAGACTAATAGCTCTACTGAAAACATTTCAAAAATATACAACAAAGATTTTAACCAAAAGATTAGTTAGAATGTTTTGTCAAAAAATATTCTTAAAGATTTAAACTTTGCAGAACTTCCAGAAAATTCAACAAAAGAGCTAATACATATTATAAATATATTAATAGAAGATGCAAAAAAGAACAATAAAAGAGCTCTGGTTAGTTTTATAAGACATGAAAAAGGCATTTGACTTTGTATTATTAACAGTCTTAAAGGCAGC